CACGTTCTTAAGAATGCTTCTGTATCTGTAACATATCATGTTCAGAAATTAGAGTTCTGTCATACTCTAAATCTCTTCAATTTGAAAGCATTTCAGCAAAATGATCCATTTAAAAGTTATTTGGAGTTATCAAATTTGTTTGTTGGTTATTGTCAAGGAAACACGTTAACACTCTTGTAGGGTTGGGTTGCTTTATGTACAATAGAACAAAATAGCAGTGGGAAAATGCATTGGAAAAACTAAAACAAGCTCCACAAAAGGACTTTTTATAGTGCTCAAATTGAGTTTTGATGGTCTTGATGAGAAGTAAAAGAATGTGTTTCTTGACTTGGCACATTTATTGAGTGAAATAAGTTATAAGATTTCTTTAAACTTTATAAGAAGCTTCTATGACTTTTCTATGCATATTAAGATAAGTGTTCTCAAAGAAAGATCTCTATTTTTGATGAATCAATTTGGTGGAATTGAGATGCATGATCTTGTAAGAGAAATAGGTCAAGAAATTTGTAGATAGCAATTAATCATTGATCCTGAAAGACCTATTCGGATGCGGAAACACAACCTTTCATATTACCTCGCTTTTATAATTGAATTTTATATTAAAAATTGCACAAAAAAATACTTATATATTTAATGAAAATTCTTGTGATTTATTTAAAATGGGAAAAATAAATTTTTAAAATAAATATTTTATAAGATTATGTTAGATAATAAAAAAAGTTTCTAAGACTCCAGGTTTAAATGAAATTTATAAAAATTTTCATATATTGACTTTCTCAAATATTAGTATTTTTCTTCTTCTCTGATTTCTAGTTTTATATTTTATATTTTTTTATATATTTCTTAAAAGTAAGAAAGAGAAATATTTTCAACGGTTTTTGTCCGATTGCATTTCAAAGCCTATTAAAACAATGTTGCACGCAGCCACTTAGTTGAGCCACAATGCACGAAGCCCAGGAATCCTATCTGCAGGCGATCTATTATTTATGATGGCTTGTGAAAAGTGACTCAAGTGTGGAGCCAATACAGAGCCATTTTGAGAGTGGCTTGGTGGAAGAGTTTGTGTATATATATATATATTGATGATAGCTATCATTGTGCTTCCACTAATATAGAGAAGTTATAAAAGTAAGAGATAAGAAAATTTGATTGAAATCTTTCAACCCTACTTCATTTCATAAAAAATCAAACTTATTAAAATTTCGACTCTCCCATTATCATTCAACCAGACAAAGTTAATGAATAAAAACATGTGGTTTTTGCTGTAAAAAAAAATAATGACGTTTCATGAAGTGAACAATTTATTGTAATAAAATATGAGTTATGATAATACATTATGTTATAGTTTAATTTAGTACAATTTATTTTATGCAAGCAGACTATACATGTTTTTGAAGTACAAGTTAGAGGATACGTTATGTACGGTAAATAATGAATAATCCCAAGGAAATTGCTTCGTAATAGAAAATCATTTCTCCACTTATTTATAAATAAGTTATACAAGGTACGCTTGCAGAAAGTAACGAATGATAGAACAATTACTGACGCTATAAAAAAACAGCTCGTTACTGATGGAATTAGTGATAGAAAATTATTTCATGGCTAATTTCCAATAGATTATCGACGAAAATTCTGTCACTAAATTTAGCAATGGATTAGTAACGGAATTTTTCTATCACTAATATTAGTTATGGATTAGCAACGGAATTTCTGTTCGTCGCTAAATTCCGTCGCTAAATTCCATCGCTAATCCGTCAAAAAATCCGTCACTAAATATTTAGTGATGGAATTTTTTTCCGTCGGAAATTTTCGTCACTTTGTTTGTTACAAAAGTTTTCCTCACGAATTTTATCGCTAATCAGTCACTAATTTTAAATTTTATTATTTTAGATTGTAATCTTACAACAATTTATATAACAACATAATTAAGAATATAATGATTTAAATATATTTTTAATTATAAAATAATAATTAAAAAATATAATAAGAATGTTAATAACTTTCTTATACAAACTGATATAAAAAAGAAATAATTTTCTTATATGTACAATATATTGAAAGATATAATAAATGATAGAAATTCAAAACCAAACTAATATTGAAGTGAATTTTGAATTTCAATCATTAAATAATAAAATTTAATCGTGATATAATTAATATCCATGATATGGATTGATTTTGGTCTTCTATGCAATATATAAAGAATTTTAAGAAAATAAATCACACAGGATACATATAGAAGTAGGAGAATATTGTTTATCATAATCCATTCAAATCATTTAATTTTTAATATAAAATGATTTATTAGATTTTATTATAGTAGCTATTTTTTGAATAACTAGAATTTTTTTACTAATTATAAATATTTATCATCAAATATATAAAACATATATAGATAATATAATATAATGTAATACAATACATATATAATTAAATCAGATATCTTATCAATGTTAATTAAAATATAAATTTAAAATTTATTTATAAAAAAATTACTTATGATTTAAAATTCAAAATTAGTGTCATTGGAAATTGAAATTATATTAAAAATATTTTTAAAAAAATAAAACATTATAACATAAGTAGTAAAACAAGTGTTTAAAAATTATTTTGTCGTTAAAATAGTTATGATTAAAATTATCATATAGTTTTTTTAAGTTTTTAATAATATATATGTGTATATAATTGTTTGTGTAAAAGAATATTATATAATAAGTCAACAGGTTTATTGCAGTTCAACTGTTAAAGCTGCACATGTGCACAAAAGAGGTTCCGGGTTCCAGCCATAGGGAAGTCACTTTGAAGAGGAATTATGTGGTGGCGACACACATTGCAGGCAGAGTCAGGTGGTAAGCAGAATTAGTAACAGAAAATTCCATCGCTAATCAGTGGCTAATTAGTGACGTCGCTAATTGCATGTTTTTTTTTTTTTGTAGTGTGAAAAGAACCACTAAGACTAATAATTGCTAGAGTATTTTCTAAAGTTGTGAGGAAACACTCAATAAATCACACTTCAAAAAATATATATATCTTTAATGTCATATAATGTGAAGGGAAAATTATCATTATATCTCAAGCGAGAAAACCAAGTATAAATAGATTTTTTTTTGGGAAAAAAAAGTGTAAATAATCACAATGCCAATCAACCACATTGATCAACTTGGAATGATTGCCTGATGGCCGATCAAACAAATATATTTTATTTTAATGTAGTTACAATTTAAATATTATAACATTTTAACATTTACAAGTTGAGCTTAGTAAGGAAATTGTTTGTCGCGCTAGTTATTATACTCACATCACATGGAGAGCAACACACAACGGGTGCAGTTATTGTGAAGCGAAAATAAGATTAACAATTTTTATGTTATCAAGTTATGAGGAAGCCCTCCGTACACGAATTACATATTTAAAAAACAGAAAAATTAATATTTCATAGAAACATAATATTAATATGTAATAAAAAAAATAAATGAGACTGATAATTTTATGACCTGAAAAATTTAAATGATAATTAATATCATCACCAGTACATCTCAAGGGTAAGAACTAAGTCATAATCATAGACATAATTATTTGACTGGCAGTCACTGTTGAAAAGAAGAAAATAAGGATGTTCTGACGTCCTCTTCAAGTAGTTATAAAAGACTTTGAAAGAATGATGAGGTAAAGGGGATAGTGGGGAAGAGAGTTGTACTCCTAAGAGAGGCTGAATCCTCGTTTTGCAATCTTCATTAAGTGATTTGAGGAATATTGAAACTTGAGGGATGCTGCTGCAACCTGCATTATTGTTCCCAATACTATCACCCTCTTTTAATGTCAGTCGAATCAATAGTGACCAGCAAGGGATGGTGTTGGGAATAAGTAGTGTTGTTAATAATGTATCGTCCATCCTACTATCAGCCTCATCAGCCTCTTCTTGTTCATCTTCCATTAATAATAATGTCATCTCTACTGCTTGATCACCTTTACTACTCATTTCTCTTTCATTCTCACTAATCATTTCTCTATCATCCTCATCCTCTTCTTCATCATCTTCCGCACCCCTTTTGCCTCTAGCACCCCTCACTGACACTTCAATATGAGAGTAGTAACTCTCGCAGTAAAAATGATCAACATCATAGGTATGATGCTGGTTGAAATCATGACCAAACTCAACTGGACTCTCTAACCATTCAACTCTCTTTACAAATGGAAGTAAAGTCGTCAAACTTTGTATTCCAATCCCCATGAATTCTGCCATCTCTTTTAATGGCATTGTCACATGCTTAAATCCAACGCCACACATCATCTTGTCGCACACCATCACCTTCATTGTCACTTTATTGAATGACAAATCGTCAAGATCCCAATAATTGTGCATAATCACTAACCCTGATGGACTTCTCCCTTTCATATTGCCCCCAACATTTATTTGCATCGGCCCACAACTACCATCTACAAATAAACTGACTTCTTGTTTCGGGACAGTTGAAGAATGGATTTGACCCAAATTCATGCAATCAAAAAGAACTATATCTTCAATCATAGGGGCTTGAGACAAATCTAGGAATGCCCTGAGATTCTTTGAATTCCGTAGATCTATTTTCTTTAGATTTGGAAATTGCTGGGGGAAAAAACAAGCAGTAGTGTTAAATAAATTACATAACTACGCGCACGTACAATTTACTCAACAATTTTTCTCATGCCCATTACAAGAACAGTTGGACTCCCCGTAGATAGTACAATTACTACTAGCATCAATTTAAAGATAGTAATAAGCAAACATTTGCGTTGTGAATTACTTTAGTCAATGTTTCTTAGAATCACAACAACAAAAAATTATGACATATGAGAAACTATACGTACCTGATCCCAAAGCTGTTGGATATTACTGTCAGGCAAATTAAGTTTAATGAGATTCTCAGCACAAAATTGTAACGGCACAGACGGCAGTGGATATTCTTCCCAACTAAGAAACCTTAATTCTTTAGAAAGATAATCCAACGGTTCACAAATATTCAACTTTGAAGGTTTTCCCTGATCTGACTTGTAAACTTGAAGGGACATTAAATAGCGCATTCTTCGAAAATGACTAGCCATCAATGTGATGCTTTCTATCTTGCTTGCATCCAACGACATGCATCGAATTGCCTCAATGGCCTGGTAATAATATCAAATTGAGGGAAACACAATTATCATTACCTAAAAAAATGACCATAAATACCATAGAACAATTAAATATATCAACTTTTATCCAAATTAACACCGCTATATCCATTTTATTCAAAATTCCTTACAATTCATGTTTTTCCCGTAATATATGAATTTCTCAAGAATCATAAGTATGCAGACACACGGATGCGTATACCTATATGCATGTGCAAATATTTAGAATATAACTATAAAAGCAAAAAATTATTATTTTTATTTTCCCATTGTACTCCAAATAACGGTAAATTATGCTCACAAAAGCGTACGCATGTATCAGTTAATGAAAATTTTTTATACACTAATTTTATCTTTTAAAACAACGCGTCACGAAAGACCCAGCTAATTTTAAATTATAATTCTTCTGAATATTACTAATTGTTATTGCAATCCTGTTTATCTTCTTCATGTCTAATCATGAGCATTGAATTGCCTCAGTCGCCTACTGATGAGATTATGGGGGAAAAATGGGTAATGTGCAAAAGGTGATCAAATAATAAATAGAACAATTAAATATATTTCTTTTAGGAATTTCTTCTTTTTTTTTGATAGCTTCTTTTAGGAATTTCTAAATGAGTATACCTTTGTGCACTTTATTCAAACAACTCATTTATCTTACAATAAATAAATTGGACAAAACAAATACACGCAGGCTCGCGGGGACAACCAAACGAACATGCTTAAATTCTTAAGACTAGAGTATATAGAACCGCCCGGTATATACAAATTATGTTTAAATTTCATAATTTGTACCTTTTTGCAATATTACTAAATTTTTATCAAGAAAATGCGCGAGCATGCATGTGCAGTGTGTAAGTATACACGCAATCACTTTCATACAACATCAATTTTTGCTACTGCTATCAATTAATATAACAAATGTCAATTTTCGTGGATAATTCTATAATTTATCAAGGATCGTTCACGCTCTAAATTTAAAAATACGTCTTACATCATCCTAATCATATTCTATGTCAGAACTAATAGAAAGTTTAAAAGTTTAAGCTTAAAATTACACCTAATATATTTAGGACCAAATTCAATAATATATTTTTATGACCAAATTCAATATAACATCTAGCGTAGTGAATATATTTAATATAAAACCCAATATATTTTGAAATTTTTTTTGAAATTTTTAATTATAAAAAAAATTTGAAGTTTAAAAAATCACACCTAATAAAAAGACTTTGCTTTGCTCTAACGAATTTTAGTCAAAGAAAGAATTTTTTTTTTTAAAAAAAAAGGTCTATTTGGGCAGATATTGAAACTTATCGAAGAATTTAATGCATAAACAAATAAATTTAAGAAAATACATCACAAGGAAAAGAAATATTAACTACTAAGAAAATAAAGAATATAACTAAAACGTAAACTATTACCTGGTCATTGTGGAAAAAGTAATAAATGTCCTCATGCCTCCATAGTCGAACATGTGTTTTACGACCAGAGAGTAATTGTTGGCTTGAAATTTCAAGGCCCATTTCCCTCAGAAGATCATGCATCTCAATGAAATCATTATGATCATTAAATGAAATGAGAGACTTTTCTCTTAGAACACTTATCTCAATATGCATAGAAGAACAATATAATTGTCTCAATAGGTTCAAAGAAATATGAACTCCTTGCCTGATTAAGAATGCCAGGTCAAGAAACATATTTTGCTGTTTGTCATCAAGTCCATCGAAACTCAACCTCAGAACATCAACAATGTCCTTGGGTGGAGCTTGACTTAGTTTTTCCAAAGCACTTTCCCACTCTTCTTTTTGCCTGCCATAAAGGAAGCAACCCAGCACTACTAGGGCTAACGGGTTTCCGTGACAATATTTCACTACTGATTTTGATAACTCCATGTAACCTTTAGATGGCTCATCTCGCTTGAATGCTTTCAAATTGAAGAGATGAAAAGCATCTTCAAAATCCAAATCCGGAACATGATATGTTGAGAATGTCGCAGAAGCATTCTTCAGCACTTGCATGTCCCTTGATGTGATAATAATTCTACTTCCTTCTCCAAACCAATCAAGTACCCTAGTTAAATCTACCGCTACTGTTGAATTGTCCACATCATCAAGTATAAGAAGAATTTTTTTTCTCTGAAGCCTATTTTTCACAAAAGTGGATTTTATGTCATAGATGCTAATATCCTCATCTTTTAATAATTCTTTAAGGCAATTCTTCTGCAGCTCATCCAAACTAATTCTTTTTAATTGCTCTTTGACATTTTCAATAAACGAGAAAGCATCAAATTGAGCTTTTAACTCCTGAAGTATAGCTTTAGCAAGTGTGGTCTTACCAGCACCGCCCATACCCCATATTCCCACAATACGGGTCTCAATTAGAAGCCTTTGAATGTTTCTAACATGTCCAGCAATGCCAATGAGTCCTTCAAGATGAGATGATGACGCATAGTTCAACTTTCTCAAAATATCCTTGACAATCTCTTCAATAAGTTTGAATTCAGGTCTAGCATAAATGTTAAAAAAAAAAACGCATAAATGCCCAAAACCAACAAATAAAAACAACAATAATTTGCTAGAATTCTAAAAATTAATTGAATAAATCCCCAATACCAACAACGAAAGGAACATTTTTGAAGCTACCTGGTACTGTGGGAATCCCATCCGGAGAGATTTGTAGATTGGATTAAAACATTTCTCCACTTTTGCAATTCTTCTGGGTTGTCTTTAAATCTTTGCTTCAATGCATCAAATCCTTTTCCAAAATACCCATTTTGTTTGCGTATGCTTGAAGGATCTACGTTATAGAAAACAGGTATCACAACTCTTCCAAATTTACGCTTGCATTCTAATATGTGAACAAGCTCGTCTAGACACCAAGTTGAAGAAGCATAATTCTCAGAGAAAATAATCACAGATATTTCTGATTCCTCTATTGTTCTTAGAAGAATCGGTGAGATTGATTCTCCTTTTCGAAGTTCATGATCCATAAAAGTGTGAATGCCCGCATTTCGAAGTCCTTTGTAAAGATAACTTGCAAAATTGTGGCGAGTGTCTTCTCCTCTAAAGCTAAGGAACACATCATACTTGGTAGCAGGACGAGTTAAAATAATATCATCTTCAGAGCTACAGAAAGAAACAAACAGTGAACAGATATTGCGTTATGTGTAGGAGCAAATCAAACAATAAAATAAAGAGTGCGAGGTTATTTAGAAGAAGGTAGCTACCTAGTAGCGATAGCAACAGGTTGGTTACCATTACGCGAACGAGAGATGAGTCTGATGGCTTTGGAAATTGATACTCCCAATAGGATCAATAAAGCTTTTTGGAGCATTGAAGCAATGGTTGTGATAGAAGTTTCTAGCTTCAGCCTTCAGCAAGTAAGGTAGCTAGGGACAAGATTATCAACACTAGAAAACAGAAGAAATTAACAAATTTTTTTTTGCAATATTTGGCCTGTGTAAAGAAAACACCGACAATTTTAGGGAAATGCTTGCAAAACGGTATATTTTAACAGGACGAAGCAAGTGAAAGAGAAAAAGAAAAGAATTAATGGACAGTATTAGCCCGGTGGATGTCAGCTTAATTAGCTCACAAGGTCTAAAACATGTTAGTTTCGAGCTTAATTTGCAGACGTTCTCCTCTTCAATCAAGTTCTTCAAACAAATTTAACGAATAATTAATAATTGAATGTAATGAAGTTTTCTAGGATTAACACAGACACTAGGGAAAGCACTGGTAAAGCTGGAGATGGGTGGGATCAAGCAAGTGGATTATAAAAAAAAGAGAATATGCCCTGTTGGTTTATAGTGATGCCTTTTTTAAGCATAACAACAAAATGGAGAGTGATTAGAATGAAAGAAAGAACATGCACTTTGCCTTTAATTTTATAATATAATAAATAAATCAACTGTTTACTTCATTTTAAAAAAATTGAATAAAATAAATGAAGACTTAGGTCAATAGATCTACGACTGCAAAGCAGTTAGGGAGGAGAATCAATCAACAGCTAGTACTGGGAGAAGAAAAAAGAAAATCTTTTGCAGAATTTTTCTGCGAAAATTCCCTCGGGGGTGATGCAGGGAAAACAGTAGAAGGATAATGGATCTATGCGATAAAGTGAGTAAAAGAGAAGAAATGAACCTGGATGGATGTGGAGGGAAGCGAAAGAAATAGCTCTCACAAAATGGCAGCTTCAGAACTCGCAAACTTTGCTTTCTCTTGAAACAAGCTTTTCAGTTCAGATTCAGAGATCACCAAATGCCTCACTCACATGTATTTGTCTCCGTGTTTCAGAGGCTCTTATTCCGGTTTCCGGGAAGCTCGCGTGTTGATGGTTTGGCTCTTGATTAACATGATATAAAGATCAAACAAAACTACTTAGCAAGTGGGAACAAGTTGCGGAACGATCAATATATAGCAACTCGATGAGAGTAACGATTGATGCTAAAATGAAGAGCATATATTTATGGATGGAATAATAGTGCGAAAGAAAGAGTCCATCGTGGGGCCAACTTACCAGTCCAGTCCACACTCCACATAGCAACTTTACTGATTTGTTTTTTTTTTTTTTTACCAACAACTTGATTTATTTTAAAAGAAGCAGAGCCACAGTGAGTAAAAGTACACGCGTTGAAGGCGTATTAGCCAGGCCGTGTGTTAATGGTTTTTTCTTTCAAAGGAAGTTGGACGGAATAAATTCATATGCATTGATATTTTTTGTTTGTTTTCTGTCGGGAAAAAAAAAGGGTAAAAATTCCAGGAAAATACTGGTAAAACTGGAGATCAGTGGGATTAAGAAAATGGATCCCGAGAAAAGAGAATACGCCCTGCTGGTTGCCTTTTTCACGCATAACAATGAAATGGGGAGCGATTAAGGTGAACGAAAGAAGCACTTCGCTTTTTCAAATGAAATAAATAAATCAGTCGTTTACTTCATTAAGAAAAATATGAATAAATAAATGAAGAGCTTAATCAATAGATCAAGTGCGTGCATATCTTTGAAGGTTTTAGGACTTTTTTTTTTTTTTCAGAAGTTGAAGTGCAAAAGAAATTCAAATTTTTAAGTTTTATTAGATGGATGACAGTAAGGGAGCTAAGGAGGAGATTGAATCAGCAGCACTAGGAAAAGAAATAAACAATAGATCTTTTGCAGGCAGAAGAATAGAAGGATGATGGATTCATGGGACAGAGCAATTAAAAGAGAAGAAAGAACCTGAATGTGGAGGGAAGCGCCAAAGAAATAGCTCATAAGCAAAGCTCGGTCTCAAAAATGGCAGCTTTCAGAATTTGCAGATCAGAGTTGCTTTCTCTTCAAACAAGTTGTTCAGATACAGCGATCAACAAATGCCTCGATTCCTACCATATTTATGTCTTGGTTCAGCCTTCCTGGTCAACCAGCCAAGTCATCCCGCGTTTGTCGCTTTTCTCTCTCCCCTTCTTTTTCCCTCCTCTCCTTTTCCAGTCAAGTGGGACGAAGTTGGGACGAAGTTGCGGGGCTTTATGAAATAGGAGGGGAGTATACGAGAGGAGGGAGTTTTTTTGAAGTAGCTTATGGACTGTTGGGATAATAGGTCTGTTTGGTTTGGGTTAGTAGTAGAAAAAATAATTTATTTTTAATCTGATTTTTAAAAAAAGTAAGATTGAGTAAAAGTTAAATTGAGTAAGATAAATTGTGTTTGGAATAGAGTTTTAAAAAGTTAGTTTGCAAAAATTAGATTGAGTAAAAGATTATTTAGATTATGAATGAATAAAAATAAGTTTGTTTATAAAATTATCAAAATAGGTATGAGTTTTAATAAATAATAAAACAAATTTACATAATATAATAAATTTAAATTAATTTAATATAAAAAAGTAAAATTTAATGGGGGAAGGCTGAGTCAGCAAGCCAAGTCGTGTCGCGTTTGTCATTTTTGCGGATTGCGGTGTTGCTTCCTTGTATCATCCTTTGGCCATTTGCTTGTTCGGCGGGTGAGCGTGTGTCTCCTTTTCTCTTTTCTTTTCTTTTTCTCTTTATAACTACTTCGAAACTGGGACGAAGTAGCGAGAAAACTAAACTTTACTTATTTATTTCATGTTTTTTTTTAATCAACAACAACTTTATTTATTTTACAACTAGTTATAGGAAATGAAAGTAAGCGCGTTAAAGTTGCTTTAATGGTTTTGGTGCTTTAATTTCTTTATTATTTCTTCTACAAAGAAATTTCCAAGCTCTTGCTCTTGGGGCCGACATAGCGTTACGTTCTTTATGCGCACAGCACTGTTTGACAATCATACAAATGCATATTTTCGAGGTTCTGATATCCCACCGCCTTCCAATTTTTATTGTAATACCCCAACCTTCTTATTCTCTGTCCCGTATTAAATGTAAGGAGTACATATCTAATTTTAATTTTAACAGATTAAAAAAAATTAGTTCAGATAATTATTTGTGAAAAAATATTCTTAATATATGCAATCCACATGTAAATTTTTCTAAAATAGCTTTTATACAATTGTAGTAATTTCGTATTCCACACCTTAGAATAAGAACATGTGGAATGCTTATATTGTTTCTCTTATTTTTGCTATGTTTTAACATATTAATAGAGTTATAATTCTTCTGTTGCAAACTAGTATTGCCATGTAACACCCAAAAAGAAAAAAGAAAAAAAAACTGCGCACACAAAAATCACTTCAAAAGAAAGAAGTAGAGATAGAATTGTAGCAAATTTTCTTCTTTTTTTGTGTGTGTAAAGAAGTTAAAAGGATTTACACAAAACAGAGGGAGCATTATTTACTAACATCTCTTTCTTCTTTGAGAGCTCTCGAGGTACTGGGGATGATTGTTTCCTTTGGTGCTTAATTTAATGGTGTTCTTTGAAAATGTATCTTTTTGGCAAAAAAGTTCCTTTTTTGTCGCATATTTATGGGCTTTGATATGGCCAAGAAACAGAGTAAACCACACTCATTGATGATTTTGCCGGTTGAGTTAAAACAAAGCCTTTGTGCTTTGGATTTGAAGTAGCTTATTTTTAGAATAGATTTTGGATTAGTACTAGAAAAAATAGCTTATTTTTAATATGATTTTTTTAAAAAAATAAGATTGAATAAAAGTTAAATTGAATAAGGTGAATTGTGTTTGAAATGGAGTTTTTAAAAATTAGTTTGTAAAAATTAGATTAGGTAAAAGATTATTTGGATTATGATTGAATAAAAATAAGTTTGTTTGTAAAATTACCAAAATAGACATGAGTTTTAATAAATAATAAAACATGATAAAAAAAATTTACATAATACAATAAATTTAAATTAATTTAACATAAAAAAGTAAAATTTAATGGTGGAAGGCTGAGTCAACACGCCAAGTCGTGTCCCGTTTGTCACTTTTGCGGATTGCGGTGTTGCTTCCTTGTATCATCATTTGGCCATTTGCTTGTTCGGAGGGTGAGGGTGTGTCTCCTTTTCTCTTTCGTTTTTTTTTTTTTTTGCCCCTCTTTATAAATATTTCGAAACTGGGACGAAGTTGCGAGACAACTAAACTTTGCTTATTTATTTCATGTTTTTTTTATCAACAACAACTTTTATAAAAATGCATATTTTGGAGGCTCTAATATCCCACCTCCTTCCAATTTTTATTGTAATACCCCAACCTTCTTAGTCTCTGTCCCGTATTAAATGTAAGGAGTACATATCTAATTTTAATTTTAAGAGATTAAAAAAAATTAGCTCAGATAATTATTTGTGAAAAAATATTCTTAATATATGCAATCCATATGTAAACTTTTCTAAAATAGCTTTCATATAATTGTAGTAATTTCGTATTCCACACCTTAGAATAAGAACATGTGGAATGCTTATATTGTTTCTCTTATTTTTGCTCTGTTTTAACGTATTAATAGAGTTATAATTCTTCTGTTGCAAACTACTATTGCCATGTAACACCCCAAAAAACAAAAGAAAAAAAAACTGCGCGCACAAAAATCACTTCAAAAGAAAGAAGTAGAGATGGAATTGCAGCAAATTTTCTTTCTTTTTTTTTTTCTTTTTTTTTTGTCTTAAAGACGTCAAAAGGATTTACACAAAACAGAGGGAGCATTATTTACCAACATCCTTTTCTTCTTTGAGAGCTCTCGAGGTACTGGGGATGATTGTTTGCTTTGGTGCTTTAATGGTGTTCTTTGAAAATGTATCTTTTTGGCAAAAAGATTTCTTTTTGTCGCATAATTATGGGCTTTGATATGGCCAAGAAACAGAGTAAACCACACTCTTTGATGATTTTGCTAGGTGAGTGATAAAGCCCAATTTTTATATATTTTATCCCACAATAATTTAGGATTTAAATGATAATTTTGAGTTTAAATGAACTTTTTGTGCATTATCGGATTAATCGGTTGATTTTTGGATTTTGCATAAAAATTGAGATTTTGGACTAAAAATATAAATATTTTGTGA